AGAGAGAGAGAGAGAGAGAGAGAGAAAGAGAGAGAGAGAGAGAGAGAGAGAGAGAGAGAGAGAGAGAGAGAACTAACAACTGGGATAGATCAAGAAAAGTCTTGTGTAGGTAGTAATACCTGAGTAATACAAACATTTATTGAACGCCTAATAAGTAGATGGTACTAAGCTAGTAATGGGTACTTGATTTTCTCTTTATTTTGAGATGCCAGGTTCCATTCATATGGTTACTCTTCTGACCTATTCACATTTTAATCCCTTCATGCCTTAGCAGAGAGCTTAACAAGCTGCTGTAGCCCCACCCCCCCCAAATCATCACTGGTGATCCATCTCCAAGACACTTCGTGGGATCCATATTTAAAAACTTAACAGCTTGTGTTCCATTGGCAGGGTCTTTGAGAACCAAGGTATACCCAGAAAAAGCAGTGGCATAGGACTTTACCTATAGTAAGACTGCAAATCCAAAGATGGGGAAGCGAGTGCTACAACAGATTGAGAATTAAATTCCAAATGGAGAAGATGGTGTAGACAGTCATCATCATCATCATTCATCAGGGAGACTGGTTCAAGTCCTAACTCTGACACATACTGTCTATGTGACCCTGGGAAAGTGACTTAACCTCTCAGCATCCCAGGTCACTCATACAATTATCAGTTACTGAGAAGGTGACAATTTCCATTGGTGGGGGGAGTTTCCTTCTCTAGGAATTGCTTTTGTCAATGTCAACGTCAACAGGTCTTGTTGGTATCCCTATCTCCATTTTATCCATGTAGATATTGTATCCTCCTGTCCCCATCCCAACCCCAATAGGATGGAAGTACCTTGAGGACCATAACTGTTTTGTTTTTATCCTTGTATCCATAGCAACAAGCACAGTGCCTTGTCCATAGTAGCAACAATAAATGTTTGCTGAATTAAGTTGACTTCCAAATTCCTGATTCTGTTTACGCAGTTCTGGGATTCTTTTAGGTATGGTTCACTTATCATCTCTATTCAGATGAATCTCCAATCTATGTAATCTAGCCTTAGTCTCTCTCCTAAGCTCCAGTCCCACATCACCAACTGCCTAATGCATATTTTAACTGGATGTCTCTTAGGTAAAACTTAACATGTCTAAATCAGAACTCATTTTTTTCTCAAAGCGTTCCCTATTTTAAATATCCCTATTACTGTTGAGGACACCAACAACCTCCCAGGCACCCAGATTTGCAGCTTTGGTGTGATTCTTAACTCTTCATTTCACACCACATATTCAATCTGTTACCAAATCTTGCATTTTTACCTTTACAACATCTCTCTTTTCTACCCCTTGCTCTTCACTCATACAGCCACTACCATGGTTCAGACCCTGAACACCTCTTGTCCAGGCAACTGAAACAGCCTTCTAATTGGTCTCTGTGCCTCAAGTCTTTCTCAAGTCCCTATTTATACTCCACCAAAGGGATTTTCCTAAGTCATACATCTGAACATCTCATTCCCCTACTCAGTAAACTTCAGTGGCTCACAGCAAGCTCCAAGATCAAATGCAAAGTCCTTTGATTAGCATTTTAATCCCTTTGCAAACTGGCCCCTTCTCAACTTTCCTAGTTTTCTTAGACTTTACTCCTCTCCATGCACTCTGCCATTCAACTACACTGGCCCATGCATCATCGCTCCATCTCCCATTTCTGTGCCTCTGAATTGACCATCCTCATGCCTGCAAGGTTTTCCTTCTTCACCTCTAGCTCTTAGCTTCCCCGGCTTCCTTCAAGACTCCTCTCAAATGCCATCTTCTGCATGAGCACTTTCCTGCTCTTCTCAGTTGCTAGTATCTTTCCCTTAAGCTTCTCTTACTTGTATGTACGCACCTATTTAATTTCATGTTGTCTCCCCATTAGAATATAAGGTCGTTGAGGGCAAGGACTGTTCTTGCCCTTCTTTTTATTCCCAACAGTACCCAACACATTGTAAGTATTTGTCGACTGACTGACTGACTCTGACCCAGCTATCTAGGTGAAACAGAGGAAAAATTGACTTGCTCACTTTCAGAAAACATTTAGGCTTTTAGACACACCCTTAATCCCAAACTAAATATCTTGAGGCATGTATGACCACATATTAAAGAATCATAGAATTTTGAACTAGGAAGGACATTTTTCCAGATAAACATTTTTAATTTGAGACTCAACGTGGAGAGATTTGGAAGAAATGCTGGCAATGTTTTTATTCTAATACAAAACAAAACAAAACAAAACAGCGTGCCCTCATAAACTGCTGCAATCCTGAGATTCAAACCTAAATGACCACTCATCATCTTATATGTAAAAGGCAGATATGAAAAAGGGAAAAAGGGGGGCAAATGTCACAAATAGTGTTCCAAATAAAGATAAAACTCGGACCTCATCAGCTTAAGAGAGAGAGAAATCAGACCCAGTTGCACTCATTAAACAGAGATAACAACAACAACAAAAACAATTTTTATAATGATGATAATAATACACAGGCAGATACTCAGATGCAGTGCACTCTTGCCAGGTTGATTTTCAATTACATTTCACTGATGTATTCATTTGTTTCTTAATGTGCTCATCTTGCCCATTAAGAATAATTAGCAGCTTTGCTTAGAGATTTCCTGGCTCCTGGCAGTGTTTCCACATTTTTTGTTGACATTCATTTTTACTTTTGTAGAAAGTAATTTTTGGATAGTATACTATAACTGGTACATGATTTAAGCTTTCCAAATTTTATAGGGAAAGTGTAAACAGTAATTTTAAGGAGAGTTTCAGTCCTAGAACATTAATAATATGCATAATTTAAGGTATTACTGATTCCTACAAAAGGTGGGCAGAGGACTAGAAAACAATATTTCATTCATACTAATTTCATTCATTAAAACAGATTATGATAAATGCCAGCTAACCATAAACTCTGTTAGTAAAGTAACATTAGTATTAAAAGCTGGCAAGAAATCATCACTAGTTTTGATGGCTTTATATCTGCTTTTTTATACTTAAGAAAAAAGAAAATTAGGTCTAGTTCTTATAGGAAAGGGTATGTTAATAGTGAACAACCACAAGATAAAAATAAGTACATCAGGAGAGACTGGAAGACAGTAAAATAAAACACAATACCCATTTTGGCATATGCTCTTGAAAGGGCTCACTCTATCTACATTATAAAGTTTTTTTTTGCCTCTTGCCCTACGGCCCCCCGCTATATTAAACCCATTGTAAAACCCAGCACAATAAAGTGCTCTGAATGCTGAGCTTCTGAAGACCAAATGTTAAAAATCCATTTTCTTGGGAGGGGGCTGCACCAATCATTTCTTTGAAAGGCCAGCAGAGTGAATGCAGAATCTGAGATTTACTCTATGATTTCAAGACCTGGGATAGTAGCTTCAAAATGGAGCCTATAAAGCATAGGTGTATTAATTAAATGACATTAACATTTTTACCCTTTGAGGGAAGCTTTGTAGCTGAGTTCAATGAGAGGGTATTTTCAATGCATTTGAATTTACATTCTGACTACAGACATTTCCTCACTTTGGTAAAAGTTCAATTTGGTTTGTGGGCCTGTTAAAAGAGGTAGCTGCCACCTTGCAAATTACACTTGTTACTGAGGCCTGAAAGTTTTTGAGGCTAAAATCTCTCTCTTTTCTTGACCAATAATACCTCCTCCCCACCCCAATTTTCCTCAGATCATCAAATTGGGCTGAACGAGAATACCTAATTCCTTCTTCATCCCTGGTTTTCCACTGACATGTTAAGGAATATAACTGTGCTTTGATATAAAATTCAGTTAGATTATAATAGCATCAGCTTATCCTAAAAATAAATTTTGGAAAAACATTTTCAATTAGTCCCTCTAGATCATGATATAAGTCCAGAGAGGCCGAGATTTGATCGGTCATGTTTTCCTCTCTGAATTTTTTTTTAAGTCTGTCAGACAATTAGCTGGGTGGGGCTCTCCCAAGGGGACAGACAAGTAGAAGTGAACAATATTAGCGGATGTTTGTGTGTCACCATTCTTCAGCATGAGCAGCCTGATAGAGCTGCTGCGAATTCCATGGAAAGAGAAATAATAATTGGTAGTCAAGTTCCCAAAATGGAAATCCAAAGCACACACATGGCCATTTCAAATACAATTCAAAAAAATCAAAACCCTTCTAACATCTCAGTGGCCTAAGAATCAAATAAACTGTCTGTCTTTATGGGATGCAAATGTTACACAAACTGAAAAATTCAAAGCAAACATATCTTTCATTTTTCCTCTCAATTTCTAATGGCCATTAACCTTCCCTGAACAAACCAGTTCCATGGTTGCAGTGGCCACAAATTATGCTTGCTTTCTTAAAGTACAGTTTAATTTTCACCAACTCTGTGTACATATTAGTAAAGTATAATCTAATATAATAGGGTATGCACTGTAATAACCTATTAGAAAAAAGGGAGATAGGTTTTCGTAATCCTAAATAAAAGGCAATAAATGGAAAACTGATAGCCATTTTAAGTGGAAGGATGTAGATAACTTCAAGGCAATTATAGTGCTAACAGCATTATAGGGGAGTAACAATATTATAGCATACACCTCACATAATAATATAAAAGATTAATACCTGAAAGAAAACTGGAAGTAAATTTTCCCTAGTCTCACCCAGAGTAATAAATACTAAATGAATGAATAATTTCATATAATGGCAGATTTTCTCCAAAGGATTCTGTTACAAAAAATTAGAAAGAGAATATCTGAAAAGTAACAATGAAATTTTATATATTCTTCTGCTGCCCATAAATATGCATCCCTTTGATAAGAAGTGATGTGAAGAATATTTCAATAGCAAAACAATGTACTTTTGTTCACTGAATTCCATATATTTCTACTTTTTTAATGACTTATGAGGGGAAACTTTTTTTAAAAAAAACATATATACCCCATGCTGTCTTTCTTTCTATCAAATGTTCCTCGGCCAGGAAAAAGGAATGAGCACAACAAACGGCGTTTTCTATCTGAATAAGGATACTTTTGATGGCCTTTTCATTCCCATCAGTTAACAGAACTTCTTTGACATCTGCAGAAATAGCAACCTGAAAAAAAAAAAAGGAGCACAGCAAACAATGAGCAAATATGCTTGTCTGTGTGGAAGTGAAGACAGCAGTGACAAGCCTTCAGTATCATGCTTCCTCACCTATTTCTCTGTAACAATCTTCAATCTTTTTTCATTTTATGTCTGCATTATTTTAATCATTCAATCAAATCAGTCAATACTTTTATCATTCCATTTGCGGGAGCCTCTATCTTGCTATCATTCTGTTCAGTAATTGCATTGTGACAGCGGATGATGGTATTCTGAGAGGCTTTCATTTGCGGGCTTCTGTTTATCTAGTAGAGCCATCATACGAGGCTGTCACTCTGCCTTTCACTCGGCTTCTGTCTGACTGCCTGATGCCCTTCATATAACTTTGCATTGCAGGCAGATGGCTTTGTAAGGGTAATTTTTTTGTGAGCTTTGACATGCTCACACATTGGGCTGTAACCTCGACACATTGTATGAGAGCGACAGGTTTGTCAAATGCCAATCAGTGTAACAATATGCTTTTATTTGTAGAGACATAAAAACTTGTCTAATGCACTGTGCTGCTACATAATATCTCCTGAATACATGACTCAGAACCCAGAGAATGGTGAACGACGTTCCTGAATGGCCAATCTAATTCAAAAGAATCTAATTACTGAGAGCTCTGGATCATGTTTGTTGGTGTAATAATGCAGGCAAAACATTAGCAGCTATATCATGGTGCTCCAACTGTGATTCGCCAGGCTATTCCTGTATCTTAGCAAATGGGACTATAATCTGAAAAAAAAAATGCTTTAGCTATGGCAATGAAAGACCGTGCGTGGCCTGGAATGTCACAACAAGAGATATTGACTATACGGAGGTAAAATGTTTCTGCTCATCGAGGCAACCATAAAATCAATATGATCCGAAAGCAAGTCAATCTAGAAGGTCTCTCAAGACTCGGCAGCTTGACCGCAGCTGATGCTGTTGACGGTTCTCTGACCCAGCAGTTGGAGGCACTGGAACATTTTTTCTTTTGTTCCTCCCTATGAATGGGATTGGAATTGAGAAAAGACCTACCATGAGCCCAGCCAAGCATGTCATGCCACCCCCTAGCTCACACACAGCAAGGTCCCTGAAAGAGAGAAAAGAAATGGTAGAACCCATACAAATTAGATGAAAATGGCCAGAGAGACATATATGTTACAAGAACAAATTGCCATCTGCAGTAAGAACGGCACTACCAGGAAGTTGTAGAGACATGACTAGGCTACCTCATGTCGTTTTGCGTTTTAAAAATAATTATGAAATAGAAAAGTCACAAAGCAGGCAAATCAGTGGGGGTTCCCTCATTAGTGTTCACTGCAACATTACCACCGCTGAGCTGAAAAATCTGAGAAGGTTCCCTTTTTTCCCTTGTCAATGGCGCTGTCTTTTAGAACTAAACTGGCTAGAGTAGCGAAAGATAATTGTCAGGAAAGGATAACACTGTTAATCCACATTCATTCCTTCAAAAACAGTTAGACAAGTAAATGGTGAATATATGCGTGTGTACCTATATCTAGCCGCATACACACACAACCCACACAAATAAATGCACTTCGGTATGGTGGGTTGTTTTTTTTTTTTAATTCTGAAGCAAACATAATCATTTTGGAAAGGCAAACAGCTCCACAAAGAACAATTATACAAAGAGCATTTAGTAAGTAACACTTACATTACAAGTGACCCCAACAGAACACAGTGATTAAACAAGGAGGAGCATATTATGGCTTACCATCCAACCCAAAGCTAAAGTAATGCTACAAGGTTTGACTCGGCCTCACAAAAGTAAGGCTGTTTCGAGTTAAGACTGGAAATCTGATGTGGCACTCTGCACTTACCTTCTCCTTTGTGCCTAAGTATCTCTCCTCTACCGGTGACATTCTCACCCAGGATGGGATGCTCCCTGATTGGAGCTCCACAGAAAAGCTTAAGCTCAGGGAGACGAGCAAATGCTGGACTTTCAGGGCAGATTTGCAGCCCCAAGTCTCAACTGCCCTGCTTTTCTTTGGTACATTCAAACCCTCAGAATCATTTCTTCTTCACATTTTAGGGGGCAATTTCTTGCCTTAGGGTGAAAAAAAAAGCAGGACTAAAAAAAAAGAAAAGGAGGAAGGATAGAGGGAAAGGACTTTTTTTTTAATGGACTTAATCACCATCTAGTTGTTCACAGTAATTATGGACTAGTTGGTAAATACGGACCTAAGGAGTTTCAAAAATGTATATTATTGAATCAGTCTAATAAATACATATTTTGAAAAACATGCACCATGATTCCTAATTGCTCTTTTAGAAGTGTAATGGACAGCTAAGCAAGCGCACAGTTGATGACTTTGAAAAAATGGGAATTAAAATGAAAAAAACCCAACCCTATATTCTCTAGCTCCACCAGGCATCTTAAGGAAATCTGAAAGGAACAGATATTTTAAAAACCCCACCAACTAGTTCAATATGATATGCACAGCCATAGATAAAAACATTTCTGTGGCATGAGTTGATAATAATATTTATGCTTTACAAACACATATTATTAATTATGTAAAATATCTTTAAATCTTGGGGTGGGATGGCATTTAAAAAATAGTAGTGCAATTTATCAAATATTCTTTAATGGATTCCTCAGTAGAAGTTGAACAATGTATATTTTTTCTGACCTTCACAATCAGAACTGATCGATTGGAGCTTCACTTTTATTTCCCAAATCAAAGTGAAATAAAATGCCTCGAGTGGAAATCAAAAATCTTTGACAAGTAGCAAAAAGCTCTCTGTGCGATATTAGTAGCCAAAGGCCGTCCAGATTTCTTTGTCAAGAGCTACATGTTTTCACCTTGAACTTTTTCTTACAATTTAATCTGAAGACTTTAATCATGGAAATCTTTAAACCATGCATGCAGATACAATGCACCTAATGGCCTGCAAAGTGTCTTTTAAAGTGCAGCTTGGTACCTGAACATCTGATTGTGCTTGAGGCAGTAGTAGGCCAGAACCTCTTCAGAAGGCCAGATACCTATAAAACACAAAGACAGGGCACATTTTGAATAGAAAAGTCCTCATTTTTAGACTTGGCCATTATTTTAAAAGCCATTTTCAACTTGAGCCAAACTTATTATTTACTATTCTTACTATTTGAAACCACACAGCATGTACATTTTTTTTTTTGCTGAGAAATGGGAATGTGGTTACCATTACTTCCCAGAAAAATAACAATATATTCTAGATAGGTTTTTATTTTAAATGACAACAAATTACAAACAGCAAGAGTTAAATTCCACGTAGATTGCTATTTTGCATATATGGGAACCTATTTTTCAGTTAATTAACATGTTTTTATGATCACCTACTATGTACTAAATTCTGCGTGCAATTCAACAACCACAACAAGATAAACAACACATTTATTAATAAGCCACAAACTGCAAGGGGCTAAGCTAGGCACAACGGATACAACAGAAATAGCACTTTGCCCTGAAGGAGGCCAGATTCTATTGGGGATAGAGGCATGGGGGATATAATATGTACACCGATAAGTAAATCTGAAATAAAACCAAAATTCTTTGAAATGAGAGAGTGCTAACAATTGTAGGGTAGGGAGATCAAGGAGAGGCTTTATTTAGAGAAAGAAGCCTGCTCTGTGCTTTAACAAAAGTTAGCTCAAGATTCTACAAGGTGGAGGTGAGAAGGGAGAGCATTCTAGATGTGGGTGACCATTTGTGCAAAGGCTATACTAAGCAAAAACAAATTAAAAACCATTCACAAGGTAAATTAATTCTTGAGAGACCTCCAGTTAAATTCCTTGTTCAACCCTATGCCAAAGTCTGTAGCACTGGCTTGCTTAAATCTCAGGGACTATTCCTATTGAGCAATTCAACTAAAAGACACCCCCCCCCCCCCGCCATTGTGGATTTTCAGCTTATTTGTTCAGTCAGTCAGGTACTCAATAACATTTAATGAGCATTTACTGTCAGGTACTGTGCTAGGCACTAGAGATACAAAAAGAGGGAAAAGATCATCTCTGCTCGAAAGGAGCTCATAATCTAATGGGGGGGAGCAAAGAAATATATACAAACAAGCTATATACAATAAAAACATGAAATGATTAAAAGAGGGGAGTCACTAGAATTAAGGTGCTAGGAAAAGTTTCCTGTAGAAGTCTGTATTTTAGTTAGGGTTTGAGCACTTAACCTCGATGCTGAATTGGATTAACCTTGTGTTTACACAATTAACTGTGCATATGAAAAATATTCATCAATTCATCAAACACATATCACGTATATACACCTCATTCTGTGTAAGGCAGTGTGCTAGAAGCCACTGTATCTGATAATGAACAAGGCAAGGGGCCTGTCTTTGAGGAGCTTACAATTCAGTAGGAGGAAATAAAGAAGGGAAGCAACTACTATGCAAACTAGAATGTACAGGTCCAGACAAGGTCCTGTGAAAGATCTGAGGAAGGAGAGATTCCCCTCCATTGGGGTAGGCAATATGAAGAAAGGTGTCATGGAGGAGGATGCATCTGAGCTAACGCATGTCAATATGTTACAGAATCACTGAATCTTGGGGTTGGACAGGAACTCAGAGATTTTTTAGCTCTGGGGTTCTTAGCCTTTTTTGTGTCATGGACCCCTTCTTATGCTTTCAAATACATGAAATAAAATATATAGAATTAGAAAGGAAACTAGGTTGAAATAAAAGTATACATTTTCCCCATCCAAGTTCATAGCCCTTCACCCTGAAATCAAGGGCTCTGTAGACCCCAAGTTAAGAATCCCCTTACCCTCTAGAGCAGCTACAAAATATTCAGCATGTGGCCATTTGGACTTTACTTGAAGACCTCCAGTGAAGAAGAATTCCCACTAACTCTGTAAGTAACCCATTCTACTTCTGTATAGCTTTTATTTTTAATAGGTTTGATTTTATAGCAACCTTAAATACGATTCTGCAACTTTTTCCTATTGTGCCTACTTCTTCCTTCTGGAACCAAGCAGAATGAATCTAACCATATATCTATATGGCTGTATGTATAACATATATGTACATGTATATACACATACATACATGTATATAAACATATATGCAGAACAAGTCTAACCCTAAATATAGACACATATGTGTATACATATATATACATATATATATGTATATATATGAAATAGACCTTCAATTACCCTGAAGGTGGCTATTCTATCTCCCACAAATCTTTTGTTGTTTCAAGTCCCCTCACTATCCTGACTGCCCCCCTTCGAATACGATACAACTTGGCAATGTCCTGCTTAAAAGGTGGAACCCAGAACTCAACATAATGCTCTAGTTGTGGTCTAATTCAAAGTAATCCACAAACGTTCATTGAGTGATTACTCTAGACCAGGCTCCGTGCTGTGACAAGGGCTTACTGCCTCCTTTTTTCTAGACACCATAATTCTCTGATCAGCAGGTAGTCTTCACAAGTGACCCCACCAAAAATGAAGGGCAGCCAACTTCAGAGCCAAGTTCTTCCTATGTCCTGAAGGTAAAAATGTTATGCCATGGCAGAGATGAGAATACAAGGTACTCTGTTGACTTCTCCGGCATTGGGGCACACACAATAAGATTATTTTTCTTTCTGGATACATTCCCAGCTGTTACCACTGAGAAAACAGGCTGCTTCAAAGAACAAGATGACAGAGGGGAAAAAAGGGAACAAAAGTCCAGGGGATTCAACTGACAAGTATTTTTGTTATGGCATAAATTATTCTTAAGGTAATTTAGATAAGAAGGTTTATGGGAGCTCAAGGGAAGAGCAAGGAAGACTTAGTAAGTAGTACTCAGAATCATGGCACATTAGAGCTAGAAGATATCTTAGAGACCATTAATCTAACTTCCCTAGTTGATCTAACAGCTAAAGGAATGGAAGCCCAGAATGGTGAACAACTAATTAGTGGCAGAGTTGGGACTAGAAACTAGTGCTCCACTTCTGGTTGGGAGGGGGAGTGGTGATGCCAGTGAATTCGGTGGCCCAAGTGCCAATGACCTATAGTGAAAGTGATACAAGTAAAAGACCTTTCAAGAAAGATCTGGGGGAAAATGAGGCAGGGTGAATAACATCTAGTTACAAAACTGTAGGGGCAGGGGAAGAACACTTAGTTTACAACTATACGACCAAATCATCAAGAATCTTAGAATTAGAAGGGGGTCCTCAAAGATCACTTGGCTTAAACCAACTCATACCTAAACAGAATCTGCTCTACAGTACACCTGGTGGGAATATCGTCAGGAAAAGGTACTCATTATTTCATGAGGCAACCTATTTATTCCACATAGGAACAATTCTAATTTTCAGGAAATTTTTCTTCCTTTTGAGTCTCCACAACTTCTGACCACTACTACTAGTTAAGCCTTCTGGGGCTAGGCAAAACAAATCTAATACTACATCTTCCACATGACGGTCCTTCAAATAAATACTTGAAGAGACATATTGTGCACTGCCCTTCCCACACTCTCCTGACTAAGCATCTACGATTCCTTCAAACAATATTTGAACTCATGGGTTTGCAGTTCCCTGCCCATCCTAGATGAGACCAGCTCATCATGGAACACAATACTCTAGATGTGGTCCCACCAGAGCAGCAAAAATGGGACTATCACTTCTCTCATAATGAAAATGACCTTTATATTGCTGCGATTGTTGTGCTATTGTACTGTTGTGTTTCCTAATCTCTCTTAATTCTAGTATCTTCCCTCTATTGATTATTTCCTATTTATCCTATATGTAGTTGTGTAGTTTGTGTGTGTTGTTGCTTACATGTTTTCTTCTCATTAGATTGTGAGCTCCTCAAGGGCAGGGACCACCTTTTGCCTTTCTTTGTATCTCTAGTGCTTAAGAGTAGGTACTTATCAAATGTTTATTAACTGAAGAACTGATTCATGCTGAGCATGAGTAATGTGTTCACTAAAATCCTAGGGTTTTTTTTTTCATATAAACTTATTCAGCCACACCTCCCCATCTTGTATTCTAATGCTGATTTTTTTTGACTCAAGTATAGCACTTTGATTTATCACTATTAAATTACATTTTATTAGATTTGGGCAATCAATTTATCCTTTATGGTACTTTTGTTTCCTGATTTGATTGTTCACCATATCAGCTATCTCACCGAGTTTCATTTCATCCGAAAATCTGATGAGTATGCCATCTATACTTTTATCTAAGTCATTGATAAAAATGTTGAACAATGCAGAGGCAAGAATAGATCTCTGGGTACTTTGCTAGAGATCTTCTTCCAGGACGACATTGATCCATCAAGGACTATTTTGGGGTCCAGCCACGTAATCAATTCCAACTCTACCTAACTGTACTATCATCTAGCCTTCATTTATCCATCTGGTCCACTAAGATAACATGAGAGATTCTGTTAAATGCCTCACTGAAATCTAAGTATATAAAGTACCCAAATAATACATTCACATTATCAGATTCTAGGGACAGCAACAATGTATTTTACTTCCTTTTACTGCAGATGCGCATAGGATAGCATAATGCTATAGACAGAAAAGGTGTAATGATTACAGTATCATAGGATTATAGATCTAGAGATAGAAGGGACTTTAGAGGTCATCTAGTCCAACCACTTTATTTTACAGATGAGGAAAAAGGAACCCAAAGAAGTTGAATATTTGCCCAAGGTCACCTAGGTAGTAAGTGCCAGACTTAAAATCTGAACTCAGATTATCTAACTCCACAAGCTTCTAGTAATTAAAAAAAATTTATTGCGGTAGGGAGAGGTGATGCTTGCAATTATCCAAAATCCAAGTTTGAATTAAGTGTCCCAGTGTGCCGTCTTAAATGAAGTTTTTAGCAAGGGTTACAACATGGAATACTTTCTAGAATCTGTGACATGTATTATCCACATATATCTATCACATCACAGAGTGCTGCTTAGAATGAGGTGCCCCAGGCATTAGTAGACACACGTGGAGCAAAGCAATCCCCTGGGACTGCTCGGGGCAGAGGGAAATCAACAGGGTAGCTGG